GGGGGGGGTGGGGGGCGGTGGAAGAGAGAAGTGCTGTCCTCAGCACCAGGGAGGGGCGGCGGGTGCCTAGTGGCGAGGCTGCTGCTGCCACGGAGCTCTCCCTTGAGGGTGTCCCTAGGACTCCTGCAGGAGGGGGACCAACTCCCCAGAGACTGAGGAGTAGGGTCAGGCCCCATCAGTTTGCTCCTCATGAATCCTCAGCCGAGTGCCCCACGCAGGGACTGGGTCTGCCCCCCTCACCACCACCGTGGCCAACAGTGCTTTCACTCATTGGTCATTCAGGCACGGGAGGTGCTGCAGCCCCAGGGAGGTCATTCACTTTACATAAAGCCTGGTGTCATCCACGCCAGGCTTTATATAAACAACCGCGAAGAAATTTTGTACACGCCAGCCTGAATACGTGTGAGCCCTCAGACCCCGACTCCCCGTGAGAGGCCCTCGGGTTCCTCCAGTGCCTGCTGTGCTGTCCGGCCCTTGTCCACCTCCGGGCCAGCTCAGGGGCCTCGGGAGGGCAGGGGCCACATCTCCTGCCTGCTGCCCAGGATGCGGGGGGCCTACGGGGGAGCTCCAACCAGGCAGTCACGCAGACAGAGGGACGGGGACGAATGGACAGACGGATGGAACCGATGGACAGACAGACAGATGAAGATCGATGGATGAAGTCAGATGACCAGACAGACAGAGGTGGACAGACAGACATGGACAGGCACTACTGGACCGACAGAAAGGGTGGCAAGAGCAGACAAACACATGGACAGAGCCTGAAGTACAGACAGCAGACTAGAAACAGAAAGACACACGGACAGGGCCAAAAGGAGCCAGGAAGAGACAAAGACAGAGCCGGGGTGGGGGCAGTGTGAGGCTGCTGGGCCGTGTGCTTGCCCAGCACTCCCTGGCCAGACGCCGGGGTGTGCAGTGGGGGACTTGGGGGGGCCAGATGGGCTGTAAGTCCTCTTGGCTGAGCCCCTCAGTCTCCCCCCTGGTAAAGTCCAGAAAATCAGCCCAGCTGCTCTGAGCACCTGTGCCAGGCCGAAGGAGCACCTTCACACTGGGGCCTGGCCTCTTGCTAGGGGCTCTCTGCGTCTGGACACCTGGGCCCTCTCCCACATCCCATGGCCAGGTGGGGTGAGCAGGGGGCTACAGGCAGTGGAGGAGC